ATTAATTAATTGACTGTATAGGGAAAAAAAATCAATAAAAGACTAAATTTTCTATAAATAAAAACCCATTTACAAAGGTCCATCATTAGCCCAAAAATTTTGGTTGACATTAATGTTGAAAATTTCTCTTTAAGAATCTATTACCGGTACACTTACCTTAATCATATAAATATAAATCCTAAATCTATAGAATAAAACATTAAACCAAGTTAGAAATCTTTAAATACATGAAAGCACTCCTTATAATTTATGAAAACGAATAAACATTAATAAATTTAATTAAGTTAAACTTATGAATAAAATCATGCCTACATATTATAATTAATGTTTAGAAACCTTTTCATTTAATTTATTTTTAATAACTAAATACCATTGGAATATTGCAAATACAAAAACTTGAGTCTCTGAAATACTGGTAAACAACTAATCAGTAAACAATTAGTCAATTCAGGCAAGATCACATTTATGCAGAACAAATACTGTACATTTGATATCAACGGTATTAAAAAAAATTATCAACTGCAGAAAGTACATAACCCCAAGGTATTTAATTATGATTTATTATGTATCTATTTTTATAGTAGATGTATCTTTTTTTTCAGTTTCTGAATAGGTGGAACATTGATCGGTTATTTGTTTATTAATTAGTTAATTAAAAGCTCAAATGTTTGTGTTTGCAATCATCCATTTCATCCCTAAACAATTTTTTTTTTTATCATTTATTAATCAAAATAAAGTATAGATAAAGGCTCCATAAACAAAATTAATATTTAACAATTTCTAAGCAGTTCACTAACTTATTTTTTAAATTCTCAACCAATTTATACAACAAAATAAATTAGAAATAATAGACTGACGTAATCAAAATTATTTCCTTAGCATAAAAATAAATTTACCTTAATGAAAATAAAGCATTCACAGCTAAATGTCTAGTTTCTACTAACACACATGCAACTACTAACACCTTATAGGTTACAGGCACAACCTTCATTTAAAATATTTATATACAATACTAAGAAGTAGGGTTTGAAATCGATAAATAAAAAAATCAAAATCAAATCTAATAAAAAAATTTTATTAGGAATTTTTAAAAATCATTTGATGATTTTTATTAACAGCAATTTTTATTTTTGACACAAGTGATAAAAATCATATCCTGATCATTATTTTTGAACAAAATTTTTGCAATTAAGAATAATAATAATTCTTGAGGAATACTTTTAAAAATCAGAAATATATATTTTTTTCTAATCTCTATAATATATTTTGAGTCTGAAGTAGTGGGTGGAGAATATTTTTGTCAACTATTAAAAACAGAATATCTTTATTTTCTGAAATTTATTAGAAATTTTGGCTTACAAAAAAATATATATACATGTATACATATATATATATTGCAGGTACTCCGTGCACTATTAAAGCGATTTCAGAAATATAATATTAAAAAATGTGTACTTTAATAACGTGTGCATACATATTAATATTTAATTTAATTTGTAAATAAAAGGTGTCATTTTTATTATCAGATCAAAATTTTGTTGATCACAATTTAATCATTATTATTTATATAAAACTGTATCACTCAGTGAATGATCATTATTTTTAATCTAATAAATAAAAATCAAAGATCGATTTAAATTTTTATTTATTAATCAGGTACGATTTTTAAGTTAGAAATCTAATATAATAATTATTACATGATTTAGAGAAAAAAATAATTATCAATTTCAAACCCTACTAAGAAGTATATACAAGTTTATTTTAGATAGTACAAAAACAACAGGCACACTATAACATTTCAAATATTTATTTACAATATTTAGAAATTTACACTAATTTATTATACATGTAATGAAAATTCTCTCCTTTTATTCATTCTATAGAGACAAACAGATTTTGAAACTGCGCACGCATTTTCTAGAGATATTATTTAACTATTCCAACAATAGTGGAAAGGTCTAGATTCATTCCGTAGGTCAAAAACTAAAGAAATTTCATACCACACAGGCCAGATCCGAACTAGTGCCACTCAATTTGCTTAGGTAATGACGACTTAATACTCTTGGCGAGCACGGGTTCAAAAACAAAGTTTTAAGCGGGAAATTGATACTTTTACAGTATCAATACAATGGATATAAAAATCCCAAAAAGGAATAAATCGATTACCACAAATTCCAGAGAGTCGAGAATTATAATAGGTTCAAAGATGTACCAAGTCATGAGGGAGAGATCGTAAGCAAAGAGAAAAAAAAAATTGTTCAGGTACCAATTAGGGTAAGCGCCAGTGATGGACATAACTAAGGAAATGTTTGTCATTTTTGGCTTATGCCACCATAATTATTATAGTTATAAACTTCTCTGTTTGACATTTAGAATCTCTAGAGTATCTTTTTTCTAGTTAACACTTTAAAATTGAAAAAAATATTCAGTTATACAGATATAATCTCCATTTAAAATATAACTTTTTGCACTAGTGATGGGCACCCCTAACTTCAATTGTTCTAGTAATGGACAGGAAGTCGGTACCAGTAATGGACATACCTCAGAAAAATTCTACGTTTTTATTTAACTATAAAGATAAGATAAGATAAATGTTCAACTTACTCTTATGATCTTAGATGTTGATTCTATATTAATATGAAAAAATATAATAACTATTTAAACCCACTGCTACAATATTAACGAATCGGTTACAAGGGTTTTATTTTCTCTTTAAACATACCTGACACATTAAAGATTGGGCTACAAGCAATTGACAAACTCAATATGTAACCCATGTTAATATTTAATCACATAGAAATCAGCAATATCTTAAAGATTTAAATAATCTAGAAATTTTAATTAAACTCTACGGATTATATATATATGAAATAGAATCAATTAAAAGAAAAACTTAAAATTAATTAGGAGATTAGAGACATTTTATTATTTAAGATAGTATTTATATACAAAAATGGAAATATATACAATTATGTATAATCACTTCAAACACAACATTATTAAAGCTAGACTATCTACTATTATAATACAATACACATCATGATAATGGGTATACTTGAAAAAAAGAAAAATGCTGGTTTTCAAGTTGAATTTTTTTTTTTACATACATTTTAAAGTCCTAAAATGTACCATTTTCAACGTAATTCCAGATTTATTTTCATAATAGCCTACTAGAAGCCACAGTGGCCAGGGGATATTTGCCACATATGGTTGATAATTTTAAAAATTAAAATTTATTGTGACCTACAATGATAAATTAAAAATCTATTGAAAAGATATACAAAGAAAAGCCACAAAATCGTTTGGGCACCCAGGATAATATAGAAACATTTTAATAAAAATAAACATGTTTAGTGAAAATATTGTAATTTGCTTGATTATTAACATATTTCACTCTTAATACATGGATGAACTATGAACCAAGGATTCTGCTCTTCTGCACCAAGACTATTGCAGTGAGTGCAATACTGAGTTAGTATAAGTTTATAGATAGCTGAGTCTCAGGGGTGGGGTGGCCGAGCGGGCTACACGAGTGTGCACAGCAACCTGATAACCGAAGTTATATCAGATAAAATTATTTTAAGTACAAAATTACGAGTTCGCATCCTGGTGCACGGGGAGTTTTAACTATGGCATTATCACCCAACCCAAACATCCTGGCCTAGAAAAACCCCAGGTAGTCTAAAAGATGAGAAAGGGAATAATAAAAAAAAAAAAAAAGTGATAGCTAAGTCTAGATACTGCTTAACTGTTAAACTGAAAAGATATATCACAGAGAGGCAAGTTAATAACTTATTAAGTAAAATGTTATTACCACAGTTATTGTAAAGAATGTAACTTCATTAATTCTATCTGTTAAAGAGACTATCTTGATAATATCACATTGTTTATACAAATAAACAAGCTTCCTTAATATTGCTTATAATTCAAATGTATCAAGGAAAAGAGGATTGATATCTAATGTGAGAGTTCTATCTCAGGTATAATAGTAATAAAATACTTAAGACGTGAAACCAAACAGCTGATCAGCAGATCCGTTACCAATACAGCTTACTTCCAAGTATCAGAGATCAATTTTTTCATGATTAAAACATTAAAGTTTCAATTAAAAACCAACACTATTCTTTTTTCTTTTACTCACCACATTGAATCATTATATAAGTTAACTGTAATATATTTACATTGAGTTTAGATGATCTTTCGCCGAAGTAGCTTAGGTGATCCTAAAATCATCAAAATGTATTTTAATAACACTGTACATTAATAGCATCTGGTGACTGAAGCAAAGCAATTGTGCAAGAAAACACACATAAGTAATACGGTACATGTGTGATGCGACTTGGGTGATATGCTTGAGATGATTGACTGCCGAGGTGTAGAAAGGCTGAACCAAGGTGGTCTTGCCCTTACTACAGCGCCGTACGGTGGAGGCGAGAAGACAGGGTACGAGTCGTCAAGAGATGGCTGGAATTCTGATGGAGAGCCAAATGACATCCTCTGTGGCTCCAGATACCCATCCAGAGAACGTGAGAGAATCGCAGATGTTGGAGTGGGAGGTTGGAGAAACCGTGGAGGACTATCTTCTTCAATTGGAGTATGAAATCCTTGTGGTGAAGAAAGGCTCTCACTGCCATCTTCTGCCAAGGGTGCACTACCACCTCCAGTGTTACCAGTGTCACCACCTTCGCCTTCAAGAACAAACATACTCTTTCCCTACAGCTAGAATCTTTACTATCACATCTATGTTTATTTTTAAATTTTACAATAATTTTAAGAAGAAAATAAAATAAGTGTATAAACTAAATAAATATCTTATTCGGAATATATTAGTCACATTTAGAGAAGAAGATTCTGAAAGCTTCTAGCAAGTGTGGAAGTTGGACTGAAGTAAATAGAAACATATAATTATAATAATTGGTACATTAACAAATCAAGACGGCTTTATTTTATATCATATGACATATTTCATGAGTGACATAAAATGTAAACAAAAATTTTACCTTGGAAATGATTAGTAGGCTCTTTATAAGTTGGACCTTGGAATTTCTTTTGTGAGGCTTTAATCCTATCCATTTTGTTCTTAATCTTCTCCAAAATTCTCTTTTCTGTTTCTTGCTGCTCAAAAATTCTCTTTTGACTTAATTCTTCAATTAGTTCAGCTCCTCTAAATATGAAACAGAAAATTTCAGCTTTTGCTAAGGCTTATTTACACTTAGATATATTTAAATGAAATAGATCCATGAACACAACTGAAAGAGTTACAGGTAGAATACAAACATAAACATAAAAGAAAATCTTATTAACAAATTAAGTTTAAAAAAAAAACCTTTCAAGCAAAGCATTAGTGTTTGCATTTGTACCACCTACCTGGCCATTCATGATATACTGAGGGTTATTTTCCCGGTAAGCAACCTATTCTAACAATAGTAGGAAGGTCAAGATTCGTTCCATGGTTATGCCACAAAATAAATTTCGACATTCTCAGACCAGATTCAAACCAGTCCCATTAGACTTGAGGTTGCTAAGGTGAAGCCTTAACACAATCAACTATCACCACTGAGGGACAAATATATACAGGCTATTTTGATTCTTTGATTAATAACTGAAATATCTGGGCGTTAACGCAAAACCCATAAATATTTTTCCAGCCCAATCATATTTTATGTCAATATTTGCTTTAAATTAATCTTGAATACAAACATAATATGGATCTAATCAAAGCTCATTAATCTCAATGATTGAAGATATTTTAGTGAAATACATGAGCTATTATTTGTCTATATAATATATTAAATTCATTATAACTAACAGTTTTTCTAATTATAAAAATAAAATTATTTTATATAAATCTCTCTATTATATATAAAAGTTTTTAGTGGCTGTCATATTTTATTTTATATACAAAGCGGGACGGAATGTAATGAAGGCACCAGCGAGACGGAACGTAACGAAGACACCAGCAGGACGGACGATACAGGGTGGTAATCGTTATGAATTATTTCTACCTAATTATGAATAATTTATCCCTAATAATTAAATTGGCAATAAGAATAATTATCATTATACAAGGTATCCCGTAAGTAGTCCTAAAATGTAAGTTTAAAATAAAAAAATCAGCTGATTGCTTCAATTATTTTCTTAAAACATTAATATTAGGATCAGGAGCATTTAGTTTGTCCCTAATAAATACAGATTAATTTCTATAATACAGATCTGGGTGAAAAACAAACTTTAATAAACACTTTACATGAAAAATAATTATTTTTTTTTTACTTAACTTATATGAAAAATAAAAAAGTTTCTTTAGGCAATTATATTTATTATAATACATCCCAGATCATGAAAAAACAAGAATTAAAAGGTCTGCAGCAATCAATCGTAGTAATTTTTGCTGAAAACACAGATACTTTAGCTTACCAATTTAGCTTAGTTTAGCTGCTCAAAAGTCCTCCTTAAATGGTTTGAATAATGACAAACTCTGTTTCATTTTTAAGTAAATTTTGTCTAGTTTAGTTACTCAAATTAAATATTTTTTTAGTTATCCCTTTCTAATCAACAAAACAAAACATGACTCACTTAAAAAAACACAAAACTTTAATTATTACTTTTCTGCTGAAAATTGGCCCATTGCTTGTATGAACTTTTTTGTAGCTCTTGATGTCTACTGTCATTTCTATAAAAATCTCCCTCTACTTACAAGACACCCTATATAATATTATAAATTGGCAACAAGGCGCGATGTATAGCATAAATGTATAACATATAACGATGCTATAATATATGATCGTATATGCTATAATGATATGATATAATATAACGCAATGTATAATTAAATGAATTAAAACTAAGTTGGTTGTGTTACATTTATTTTATGTTGATAAAAAAATAATACAATCTGAAATACAGAATACATATAAATCAGAGTTATAAAATTTGAGAAATGATTAGTACAATTAAATAAAAAGTTGTAATCTCGACCCTCTGACCTATACATCCCTTCTCATAGATCTGCCTCATTCCAAAACTCCTTTATAGCCCGCTCTGTCAACTTTTGGAATTCCCTCCCGATCAAAATTCGACATGCCCTTCCCTATACACATTCAAAAACCTCCTATTCCAATTCCTGTTCCAAAAACAGTTAGATACCAGCTAACTATTAATACTATATATGTATTGTGTAGCAATCATATAATCATAATACTTGGTAAGAGATAGTACATGCATTTCCTACTATCGACGTAGGAATTACAATACATACATTTTTTTTTTTATTCAATTATAATTAACTGTTTATTTTATATATATATATTCAAGTAAAGTTTTTTTTTTATGAAATGAACTCATTCTATCTCTTTTTCGTTCTTCATTTCTCAAAGTGTATGTTTATGTTGTTCAACCCTTATATATAGTTTTGTTCATAGTTCAAGTGATTCGTTCATAGTTTTAATTGTTTTGTTCATAGTTTTAAATGCTCTGTACATAGTTTTATCTGTATTGTATATAGTTTGTGCACCTAAGGTTTTCTTTACTTTTTATTTTATTTTATCAATTTTATTTTTTGTTTCAAACTTTTAGGCCAGTAATATTCTATTCTTTTGTACAATATTGTTATTCTAAAGGGACTTAGTCCCAGAATAAAGTTTTTTTTTTCTATCTATAATTTGTAAAATGGGGGTTGTTCCACCATTGGGCAGACATGAGGTACTATTTCACCAAAATGAAATTTTGGTAACAGTGCAAACTTTGTACTAATTAATACTGACATAAAATATTCCTATCATATGTTCTTGATTAATTCTACTGTTAGTTATATATTAATGAGCTAAAAGTCTTAGATGAAAAACCTCAAATTTTCATTATTAATAAACTCTTTTTTCCATCTTACCTTGATGCAAGAATGGACATAGCTTTTGCTTCATCGATAATATGAAAGAAATAATAACTATTAAACAGTCTGCGTTGTAAAATGAGAAAAGTGAAGCATAGACTGTCCCAAAAAAGGCCAATGTCACCTTGATAAACCTCACACTCAACAGGATCTGTAAAAAATAAAATAAATAGAAAGGTTCAAGTGGAAAGAATATATAAAACTCATTTTTAAACTTTTCAAAAATAACATTTTGAGGGATGGTGGCACATACCTTCACCAGAAACTAATGGCTGGGGAAGAAAAAATAAAGTGTAGTTTTCGACATGAATAGGAAAATTTTCCATGGCATATTTTAGTAATTCTATATATATTTTTTTTTTGTTCAATTTTTTTATTCACACCTATCATAATGGTAATGACAACCCGTGGATGTGAGATCGATTACTAAATATAATGTCATGAAAGGCGTGAGGAGGATCAGTGCCTAGCGGCACCTCACTCGGCGTGATATACATATTTTATTTATGATGAAAATGTGTTGTTATCACTAGGATCAAGAAGGAACAGGAAAGGTGTACTCTATCCATTTATATATTATTTTATAGGAAGGAGATGGTCCGGGGGCCGGTCATAAATAGGCTAAATAGTGGTAAAATTATTTTAATGAAAGCCGACGTTTCGACCCGACTTTGCAGGTCTTCTTCAGGGAGGTGTGTTCAGCTAGGAGTTTCACTCAGAACTGGGAAACTCCTGAACTGTGAAACTCCTAGCTGAACACACCTCCCTGAAGAAGACCTGCAAAGTTGGGTTGAAACGTCAGCTTTCAATAAAATAGTTTTGCCACTATTTAGCCTATTTATAACCGCCCCCCCGGACCATCTCCTTCCTTTATAATTTAACAGTAAACTATAAAAATATTCTATATTATTTTATGTATTAACTTGGATTTTCAACGTTGTATTAACAAGCCAACGTTGTAATCATTTAATTTTTAGCATGAATTTTATTCAAATTCATCATAAATAATTTAATAGATAAATCTTAATGTTTAATTATCAATTTTTGAACAGCGAGTTTCTTTCCAATAATACTTATTTTCCTTTTGACACAAGTTGGATCAACCAATTATCCATTCATTATTTGATGAGAAAGTTATGTTTGAATTATCAGTATGTTTTGTTAAATATCACGAAAAAGAGCTAAAACTCCAAATGTTTACTTAACTTATTGAAAAATAAAAAAAAATTAATGATATTGGCGACAAAGACCCTGTTCACAAATTTATTCTTTCTAAAATAATTAAATTATTATCATAAAAAACCTCGACTGTTTCAAAAAGGATTTCATCTAAATATGGTACAGGTTTTATCTTGAAACATACAATAAATATGATTTTTGATACTAAGATTATTTTAAGGACTGTAGAATTAAAAACTAACAGTTTTTCGTGTTTTACTTTTCTATGTCTTTTAATAGAATATCATTAATTATACTCAGCAATAAAATATTACCAAAAGCTCCACGAGGGGTTGGTGCTTGTCCACCAAACTTCTTAATACAAGCTATGCCAAGAAGTTGGACCATCCAACATGCATTGTCTTTTAAATACTGTATATAGAGACAGCCCAACATTTGAAGAACAGTTTTGATAAATATCACAGCAACATTGAAAATTATCAACCAGTTCCACCTAAAAAATAATGCAATATTATCTATGATAAAAAAAAAAAAAATTCACAAAGGCTATATATGTAAAGAACACATCACATTATCTTTGTAATCGTCATTAATATTATTCACTCATTAAGATATATTTTTTTCTTTTATTTAGGAAAAACAGTATTCTCAGCCAAGAAATATTATATAACCAGTGAAATTTCCCGTTACACACAATTTTATAATCTCCATCTGATTTCAATGATTTCCCAGTATAAATGACTTCTTTATACCAGACTTTCTTTATAACGGACGTGGACAGGCTTGAGATGAAGATTACGATTGAAAAGTTTCTCCATATAGGATAGAAGGAAGCCAGTGAGGCTCATTTCTGAAAATCTTAATCCAATTTATTGAAGCTTCGTTCAATTATGTATCAGTTTTGGAATAGAGTTTAGAGTCTTAAACTTTTGTTGTTAGTTCTACAGATTTGATTATAACCTCACGATTTTCAAGCTTAATTAAAAAGGGGCAAAAATGAAAACTGGAGCATGGCATTTAAATAACAAAAATAATAATTGTGCATTGATGGTTGACTGTAGTGAATAATTGAAGAGAAGAATGGTTGGGGTGATCAGTAAAAAAAAATTACAAAAATAAATAATTATATTTATTTTTATATTTGCTGATGTTTCGGCCAACATTCAGGCCTTCATCAGGGCTGGTCAAGCGAAGAGGTGGCGCAAGACAGAAACAGTGGTAAATACAACAGAATAGCGAACAGTCTGGACAAGAGCTGTCTATGATGCCACATCTTCGCATCAGAACCAGTACCCATTGATGACACGTTCTGAACTGTATAGGCAGAAACATCGCAAATATACTTAATTACGTTTTAGTAAATTTTTTTTATTGAATCACACCAACCATTCTTCTCATCAACAAAAATAATAGTGTGGATAGATTTGACATTATATTTAAATTGAAATAGATTCAAGACAATCTTAGCAAGCCAGTTAAAAATGCAATTCAAAATTTTATAATAGTCCAACATGGCAGAAAATAATTTCTATTCAAAGTTGAGTGGTAAGTGAAAGTTGTGTGTTGCGTGTTGCAGATTTTTTATTAAAGTATTGATTTACTGATTACCTATTGATAAAAACATAAAACATTGCTGTGATTTCATTACAAATATATGATATTTATAACTAAAATAACCATCCATATAATAAGTAATAAATTAAAAATCATTTAAGGAAGTTAGTCGACTATTCTAGATGTAATGGGTAATAAATAGCCAGGACGCAGTCATTTTTAAGGTTTTTATTAGTGCCGACATTTCAATCCAAACATATGGGTCATCATCAGGGCATGTTTCTAGCACTGAAGGTATTCAGGTACTTGCTCGAAACACGCCCTGATGATGACTTACATATTTGGGTTGAAATGTCGGCACTAATAAAAACCTTAAAAATGACTGCGTCCTGGATATTTATCACCCAAAATTTAAAATCAATAATACATCCTCAATTTTAAAATAATATTTTGTCATCTTCTTTCTATCATGATGCAGATATTTACTATTCAAAATGCTATAGAGAACCACCATTTTGTAGAGGTTTGACATAAATATGTCGACAATTGTTAACATTTTATTGTAGACATAATCTAATCCAGTTATTCAATTATAACTACCAAAAATGGAGTGTAATAATTAAATAAGATCAAAATTTCGCCATCATATGTATTGCTGTCCTTCTGATAAAATCATTAAATTTAAGGCTAATATGGTTATTTTAAATTATTTCAAACTAGAATGCTAAATTAAGAGAGAGAATTTGGCCTTGATGGTGGGCAGTTTTAGAGAAATAAACAAGTAGTATCGCTTGGTAGTATGGAATGACAGTCTCTGACGTGGGCAATACCAGTGAAATAGTACCTTAAAGTGAACAATTTCTTTTTGATTAACTGTAAGTGTTCGCTAATGAGAAATTTTGCTGTATTTATAATATCACAAACCTTACCATTTCAAAATAGTCTTTACTGGTCTCAAGTAAAGATCATTTCCCTGCCAGAGGAAGATGAAAGCTCCAATTAGGTAACCTAATGAGAAGAGGTTGACCCTATTCGTACCCGCCAGGAACACTATAGCCAATGTAATCCACAGAAATGCTTGAAACACAATCCTCTTCACAACATCAAGGTAAGATCTAAAAGAAAATTATTAAATAACAGTTTAAGTCTCATAACTAGGGACAGTATGTTTATGTAATAAATAGCTCAATTAAAAAACTCAACAAGTTTATATCACATAAAAATCCTAACACTAATAATATTTTCAAAAAAAGATTGAAAATTCAAAAGCTACCTTGTATAAGAAATGAAATCGGGTGTAGGATTGACAAACTGCTCTTCTTCGTTCTGGTCCACAATGCTTTTGTTAGTTCCACCAGGATATGATCCATCAATATGTTTCCTCTCTATCCTGAACACAACTCCTTGGCGGCAAACCAGCATAAACACAAGAAAGTCACCTAAAAAACATTAAATTAAATAGGCAGGGAGAAAATTATGAATGTTGATATTGTCCTTATAAGCAAATAAGTTTATTTAGAATATAATGATACTCCCTAAATCTTAGAAACTACATTCCCTATGGTCGGGCTGGTGGGCAAAATTAAACAATAATTACTTATATGACCTAGAGTATTTATTCCTATATTACAAAGGCCAACTCCTCCATGCATTACTGATGGTTTACGTCTATTTTGAGAGTAAACTTTATAAGTTTGAAAACGTGGATGAATTTATATACCTGGGATCCCTGATAACTGTGGGCAATGACATCACAAAGGAAACTGAGAGGAGAAAAGTCATTGCTAACCGATGTTAATTTGGACTAGGAAGACATTTAAGGTAGACAGAGCAAGTATCTGTCAAGGACAACAAAATTATGGCTAGGAGTCATGGGTAATATCACAGATGGATGAGCAAAAACTATTGGCTTTTGAGAGAAGAATTCTGCAGCGCATTTATGGACCAAGAAGTCGGTAAAACATACCTCAGAAGGAATAATCAAGAGATATGTAACTTCTTTGGAGAACCTGACATTGTGAAGCATATAAGGCTGGAAAGATTGAGGTTGGCTGGCCATGTTGCACGATTGTCAGAGGATGAGATCACCAGAGAAATGAAGATTGAGGCAATTCATAGTACCAGGTGTAGAGGAAGACCGTGTCTTAGATGGATGGATGGCGTAGCGAAGGATGCCCAGACGATCCTCAGGGCCAGGGACTGGAGAACTGCTGCCCAACAATGTGCAGACTGGCAGAAATTATTGGAGCTCAGGGACCAGTAATGGTCTGTTGAGCCAATGAAAGAAGAAATAAAAAATAATATAAGAAACATATTCTATACTTCTCTTCTTCTTCTTCTTCTTCTTTCTCTACCTCCTTTGTGCCTTTCAGCGTGGAGGTGCCCCTTCCATGCATCCCAAGCATTTCGGTCCCGAGCTAGAGCCCTCATATCCCGTATCCTCATACCTCTTTTCTGCCCGATCTGGGAGATGTACTCCATCCACGACAATCTGGGTCTTCCTCTTGGACGCTTTCCTACAGGTCTCGCCTCCATGAATTTTCGTGGGTCCCGGTCTTCATTCATTCGGCATACATGCCCGAACCATCTCAGCTGCCTCTTTTCTATAGAATTCTTTAGTGAGACAGTGCCTAGGGTCGTCTCTTGTTTTTTCATTCCTGATCCGGTCTCTCCTGGTTCTGCCAGCTACCCTTCGAAGATATTTCATTTCACTAGCAGTAACTCTGCTAAGGTGTTTGGTTAATGGGACCCAACTTTCACTCCCATATATAAGGGTTGGTAGATATACCGCTTTAAAAATATGCATTTTTACATTCCTCTCTACCTCCCTTTTCCCAATGACTGTATTGCATAAGCTGTAATACACATCATTGGCCTTTTTAATCCTGTTGGAAATTTCATGGTCAACCCTTCCGTTCTTGTTTATTACTGCACCTAGATATGTGAAGTCCTCCACCATTTCGAGTACCTCTCCTTTGCAATAAATTTCAACAACCTCCTGATCCCGTCCAATCTGCATTACTTTGCTCTTTCCGACATTAATTGCCATACCCTTTCTTGCTAATTCAGCCTCCCATTCGATCACCGCTTGCTGTAGATTTTCCTTTGAGTCTGATATGAGAACGATGTCATCTGCAAAGAATATTACTTGCGTGAATATCGTCCTCATGTTCCATTTTCCTACAACTGTTCGCGCTGTTCGTCGTTTACAAATCTTTAAGATTTCGTCCATATATATAATGAACAGAAGGGGGCTCAAGCTGTCTCCTTGCTTAACACCTTTACTCATGGCAAAGATATCGGACTCTATTCCATTTATTCTAACTATGCCCTTTGAGTCCTGATACATGGACCGTATAGCATCTATCAAACCTCTTGGGATATTTTTGTCCACCAGGGCCTTCCATAGTTCTTGTCTAGGGACGGAATCGAATGCAGCCTTTATGTCTAAGAATGTGAGGAATACATTTCTGTTCCGTTCCCAAGCCTTATTGATTATTGTTCTTAAAGAATATATTCTATACTTGCTTGATTAAAACTATCAAACCAACCTTACCAGCATTAAAATTTATTTAGTCATCTCTATTACTAGCATTACTAGCATGTGAGATCTACTTAAAAAATTATTAAAGGAAAACTTTGACTTTTCTGCAAACATATTCCCGGAAATTTGACAACTTCGAGATCTCTAAGTGTGGTAAAATACTTGCGTACCTAATTCTAGGCCTTGGCCTAGGCATCTAGTCAACTTTTCCTATTTTCTTAATTGATTTTATTTTACAATGGTGTAGAGATGGTTGACTGTGGTATAATATGAAAAGGAGTTGGTCGGGGGGTGTGGACAAATATATAAATGGAAAAATACTAAATTTTTAAAATAGTATTTTAATCGTTAAGCCGACGTTTCGACCCACTTTGTAGGTCTTCATCAGGGCGTGGTATCGGACACTGCAGGAAGCAGTTAATGTTAAATGCATCTAATTCTTTTTTAAATTCTCTAAAAACCCACCCCCGACCAACTCCTTCTCAGATTTTATTTTACATATTTTATTCATTCATGTAGATTAAATGTTATTGATTTTGATTTTATTTTATAAAATGAATCCTAGCCTACCCAGGAGGGTGGCTAAATTACTTTTAAAGAGCTGGGGCACTTTTGATAAAACTGGGTAAATATAATGCATATAATTAAATCAAACATCCCTTTATCTCTGTGCTAGCCAAAAATTAATTAAAAGTAAATAAACTCATTGTAATAAGCATCACATATTCTACATGTTGTTCTTTGACAGAAAAATAAAATTTGAGTAAAATATTGGCTTGAAATACACTGGTGGTAATAAAAAACTGACGCACCTTAAATTTTGTGATTATTTTTTTCCCAACAGAAAAAAATAACGAAAATTCATTTTAAAAAATCGTAATATAAAATAAGGCAAATGGACACTCTTTTAAATAAAAATAAAACACATCTAAGTCTTTTTTAATAATGACATCTGAGTCTCTACTACAGTGTTGTCTCCCTTTTTTTGAATAACGGCCTGCACTATCATGGGCATACTACGAATAAGGAGGTTACCCAATCTTGAATTTGAATCCATTCACATACTTGGAGGTCACATGGAGGGTTAAGTTGTCAATGGATGGACGTCCTAAGCTGGTCCAGAAGATACATAATAGGATTGAAGTCTGGGCTGCAAGCTGGCCATTGCAAGATGCAGACACTAACTTAATCTAGGTAGTCCTATACAATATTTTTTATATGTAGCCGAACATTATCCTGAATAAAAAGGAAATGGAGGGCAATAAATAGGCCAAAATGTACCACATATTCCTCGAGGATATTGGTGATGTATATGTGTGCATTTAGCATTGGCCTTTGGAATACATGGAAGTCCGTACTTGACTCTAAACATATTCCACCCTAACCATCACCGACCCTGCTCTGAACTGCACTGTTGCCGGTACATTGCATTGAGCTAATTGCTTATTTGGTCTTCTCCACAGTACTCCAATTCGGCTCTCTGCACCATAAGAGGTTGATTTATCACCTTGACTCATCAGAAAACAGAGTAGAGGGCAGATCAGTGCGTCCAAGCCATGTGTTCACGTCAAATGTGAAAGTGAGTCTTTGGGAGTGCTGCAGTGAGTAGAGAGTTGCATGCGGGAACCGTAGTGTGCAGGTTGATTTCAGCAAGTTTTCTCTTTACTGTGTGCACACTGACATCTGCATATTGAGCAATACACAATTAATGAGAAGTCTAAACTGAAATGAAGTGGTTATTAGCTAGACCTATCGCTCTTTGTTGGCCTAATTACAGCTTCCCGGCAGAGCTTCCTGCCTCTCAGAACCTCTGGACTGCCCGCCAAACCATTTTTTCAGGCACCCGTGGACTCAGGCAAAAGTATCACTGACTTTGGCCATTTTCAGTTGTTACAATAGTCTGAACGACTGCCACGGAATCCAAAATCTTCACACACTTAAAAATGTTTGATACAAATGAAATATTGTTTTTCAAGAAAAAAAAAAACACAAAAGCAAAACCGAAACTGCGATTGAACAGGCAACTAGAAACAAACTGATACAAGGTCTATGATCTATTTTAATAGTTTTATCGTTAATCCTGGAGAGAATCGTGAGATTTTCTCAAAAAGATTGATGCATGATAATCCCCTTTGACCAGTTATTACTTTAGACTCAAAAATATTTCTTTGATAGCGGTTTTTATGGAAAATTCAAGCTGTGCTGGTTGTTTTTTTTACCATCAGTTTAGTTTAGCTAAATCTAAAAGGTAACAACACTTTTTGATTTCTTATCTACGATATACATACAGATAATTTTGTAAGATGGTGGAGGATCAAAATCATCAGGAAGATAGAACCATTCTCTAAAGCTGTTCATTGTCTGTGACTTTTCATCCCAAGGGTATGCTAGAAAAAAAAAGTGACAAAATGATTGAAAAAAAAAAATCTTAAGAAATATAACTTTAGTCTGAAAAACATTTTTGTTTTCCTTTATAACAAAACTAATAGTACTAATAGTATTTATAATATATATTTCTTCATGATTGTTCACATAAATCCATATATATAAAATCATCAGTATAGATATGATATTAAGAATGATGGATCAGGTAGGATAAGTCGGATGCTCTAAGTAAATCACCAAGTTGAACTGCGGATCAACATCAACACAACAAAGGAAATGCAAGTGAATGAACGAAGTAGGAATCATTTATCTTCTTGGGAAGAGTGGTCACCAAAGGAGGAGGACAAACCTTTACCCGACCCCTTCAGACCTTCATCAACCACTACTTGTGAAGAATCCTGGGGCCTGAGAGGATCCCTAATGGAGAGCTCTGGAATACCACCTAACAGCTTGTATGATGAAAAATAAATGGGCCTATATTAAAGGATAGGACATAGTGCCATCAAAAAGAAATTATGCAATGGAATCCTCAAGGAACAAGAAAAAGAGAAAAACCAAGAAAGACATGGTGCAGATCTGTAAAATATGCAGTAAAAAGACAGGTATGGAACACACTTGTAGATACCCTATGCTCCACCAGACGTCAACATTGAAAATAAGTCTAAGAGGAAAATACTTTACAGGAGTGTAGAGAAATAGGGCAGAAGTCAGGCATTCTGAGTATGAAATTTTATTTAAAGGTCAAACTAGGGCAGTTTTCTAAGAAAGGAATATAAAGAATTGCAAAAAAAAAAAAATTGTATGTATCATACAGTACAGAAATAAGAACAAGAAGATAGGATTTTATAATTTTTACTGAAATATCATCATGAACATAATTATTGGAGTGGGATTTTAGGAAAGAGGTAAGTAGATGCAACTGATGTATTTCATGATATCACTAAGGCATTTAATAGTCTGCCCTGGGGCTAAAGAGCTTCATTGCTATATGCTTAATATACATACCAAATCCAAGACAGTAATTGCTACTACACTGGTGGTACAACAGTTTTGAAAATAGACCAGGATTGGGTTCCACAAATCAAAATCAGAAACTAAATACATATAGAGTGAGAGTGCTGACATATAATAAACTACAACAAAATAACAGAATTAGAAATGACAAGGCAACAGCGACATGCCTCTTAGACACTGCTAAAAAGGAGCGGGATGATAGATTAAATCAAGAATGTAAGATGTGCTACTACGTCTTTGCTTCCACATTCGTAACACACCATAACTTTTATCACCACATTTGTTGATTGCCACTCTGATCTATGATAGATACATGAATAATTATAAAAAAAAAAAAGAAAAGAAAAGGAATTTGTAGACATGATTTTTTAACAATTTATATTTGCAAGATGTGTAACCTTGAAATGTCCATAATAGTCGATTTAATAAGAGATACAAACGAATTATTCACAGTGCTCACAGAAATACCTACTGTTATTACTAGCATACTGGTATAGAGTAGAAATGTTGGATGTGAAAAAATTAGGATAGAAGCTTTTTTTTTTAACTTCTATGCTTGGGTGCTGATATTTTTGTAACAAGACGAAAATGTACAAGACTTCAGGAAAAATTTTGAAAACCTAAAAACCTCAAATTATATATATATTGTTTCTAAATTTATAAATTCTAAACAATGCATCCTAGAAAAACTAAAGTATCGAAAAAAGTAAGCATTGAACCAGTACCACAACATAAATCATTCAATCAAGTGGTACGGTCACAAAACTATGATTTTCCCAACTTTGTAAAAAACTAAAATATAGTAGTATATGGGTGTCCCGTAAGTAGAGAGAAATTTTGATAGCAGAACTCAAGAGCTACAAAAAAATCATATAAACTAAAGACCAATTTTCAGCAATAATGTAGGAAATCTAAGTTTTGAGTTTCTTTAGGCAAGTCATGTTTTTTTGTTGAATAGGAAGCGATAATTAAAAAAATATTTAATTTAAATAATTAGCAATTGCTACAGTATGAACGAGGAAAAAATTACTTCAAATTAAAAATATAATTTGTTATTGTTAAAACCATATAAAGAGGACTTTAGAGCGGCTAAACTAAGCTAGGCTCTGTTTTACAAAACTTTTAAAAATTTTTTTTACACAACTTGAGGTGAATGTCAAGTTTTTGCTTAGTAAACCTCAACTTAATTGATATGGACTTGAAGCTTATTAAACAAGGAAGTTTTTTCTAATAGTGGGGTAACTGCAATATAGTTGGAGGGTGAAAAAAAAATTCGTGAACAATTTATGATTTGTATAAAAACAGAATTTAGCTTAGCTTAGCTACTCAAAAGTTCTACTTAAACTGTTTAAATAATGACAAACTCAATTTTATTTTTAATTAGATTTTATCTATTTTAAAGTGAAGTAATTTTTAATTACTTAAATTAATATTTTTTTAGTTATCGTTTCCTATTCAACGAAAAAACATGACTTACTTAAAAAAATACTAAACTTAGATTTCCTACGTTTCTGCTGAAAATTGGCTCATTATTTACAAGGAATTTTTTGTAGCCCTTCAGGTCTGCTATCACTTATATAAATAGCGATAATGACAAAATAGCGACATTATATCGTACTGGCCCATGTGTTCATAGTGTTGTATAAGATTTGTATAGCCATTAATGTTCCAAAATAAAATATGAAAGTATGATACCTCTTCTATCCGTCCTGATGATTCATTATCCTGCACTCTAGTATTAATCTGAATATTTTATTTCTCGAAATCGAAATTGATTTGAGTTTTTCGCTCAGTTTTTTTCTTTTGGTTACCTGAACTGGTGATCACGTTAGTGATCGTTAACTGTCTTCGAGTGCTTTCAGTAGATGTGGAAAGTGTTTCCTTTCATTGTGAATAACTTGTTTTTATAAGTTACAATACTGTCAAAGGTTCACAATCTGTCAAGATATAAATATATTTGTTTTCCCTCTTCTCTTTCCTCGGGTGATTTGTCATGTGCTATAGGAATCTTTTTTTCTCTAAATAAGTCTCTCTTTTTCATTATTGATTGTTTCATTATACAACTGTTAAGAGAAATCAGGATAGGCCTGGGTTTGTTATATCTATTTTTTCCTAATCTGTAACAGTTATTTATCAAACCATCTGATAGGCATATGTCCATACCAGATAATATTGTTTTCACTTCATCAACTACATTTTCCAAATTATTATCTTCTTTTTCAGGTAAATTAAATAATATTATATTATTTTTTCTACCTCTTTTTTCTATATTCTTTAGCTTTCTTTTAATTGGGAGTTAATCTTTTTGAGTTCATCAATTTTGTTTTTTACATATCTAAGTTCCGATGTAATATTTTCAGTAAGGTATTAATTTTTCCTACCATTTCTTTAACACTGTTAGTTTCATCGTTGTTGCTGCGGATTTCTATTATTATTGTCTGCAATGTCCTCATTCATTGGATTCATAATATTATTTAAATTACACTTCATTTTTTAACTTAGTATTATTGGATTACGATCTGGGAAATATATATAAGTCAACAAAGAGTTGGCTGTAGATAGATAACTTTCCAGTGACGTAACCTGCCCGCTTGCAATGGTACTCTTCCTGTTTCAAGCCAGGAGCACCCAACTGTACTGATAATTTGAAAAATATCACTTATTTACACAATACCCTTTGTTTCTAATAAAAGACAGTTTTAACACACTAAGATACACCACTATACCGAATATAATGATCCAATAATTTATTTACACCACTCAAATTACATAAAATCACAGAGTCGATCTGCACTCTACCGTAGCTAACGATAAATTCTGACTTATATAAATATTTCCCTCTATTTACAGGATACCCTTTATATAAGTCTCCAAATTGGTGCTGATGTGCAATATTTGACATCTTTCTAATGCAACCACTTGATATCCAGTAAACAGCCTTCCATCCATATGTTTAGTGGATGTGATACCATTTTTGACCATGATAAGGTTATAGGATCTTTTAGTCAAAAGAACTTAAAAACATCTATCGACGTTTCCTCTATCTACTACTTCAACAACATATCAAACCACACCACTTGGATAGAATGATTAAATTGTTGAACTCATTCAACACAGAATTTATAGTTCTTAAATTAGTTCTACCATAACGTTTTTCCTAGGAAGCACTGTTAAGAAGTTAAAGGTGAAAAACAAAAAAGTCTTAAAATTTTGGGCTGTCAAAAGTTTGTCCAAGATCTATGGTTACATTTTTATTTTTTACATGTTTGTAGCCACATATTGGTAATTTAAAAAAAAATAAAAGCTTCAAACCCAACTTTTGTAATTTAAATCCCCCTGCTTTGATTCTTTACTGACTAGCCTATATATAGTAGTATATTATCATTTTTTTTGTTTAATTAACAAGTTAATTACATACAGATGGTTGATAAATCAGATATTGACTTTCCATTGATAATGACATGCACTATATGGTTAAGGAAAGCTTCTAGGTACACCCAGGGATAATCTGAAAAATATTAATTTAAATTTCACTTTGATCTTGATATTGTATGTAGTGTCTATCCTGAAATGATGGACTATAACTAAAAATTAGATTCGTTTGATGTCAGTAGAATGTATAAAATTTAAAACCCTTAATTAATTTAACTAAAGATAATTTAACTGAAAAAATATATCTATATTGTTTATAGATACATATCTGGTTGATGCAAAACCAATGCAGATTTCTATCAAATTTTAAAACTGATTCATTTAAAAACAAAACAAACATTTTTAATGTTAATTAGTTGAAAATTTTGAGAAATTTGGTTTTATGATTTTTTTTTTAATACATTAATTGAAATTTACAACTTTTTTTGTCCTCCCCTTCCTCATCTTTTAGGATATATGGGCTGTTCCCGGGCCAGAGAGTGAGACTGGGAGATTTATGCCAGAGTTTAAAACAATCCAAATTATCTTTCATCAGGTTGTCAGAAGTGTTGCAGGGAGAATGTTTAGGGAGAAAGTTTATTCAAGGTTTATGATGTGTGACTGAAGGGTTTGGGAAAAATTATTGGGTCATTATTAACTGATAACACACAAGTATCATCAGCATAAGTGGAAATGATGATAGGATGAGTTGAAATGTCAGCTGTATAAATGTGTAGAGGATGGGACCGAGGATACAATCTTGAAGCACACCAGCAGACTGAGAAAAAATTGAAGAATGGGAACCGTTGTGGTTTACCTTACATCATTTGTCTGAGAGATAGAAAAGGATAATGAAAGTAGGTAGGGGATAGGAATTGACTGATTTTGTAGAGCAGTCCTGAGTGCCAGACTCGATCAAGTGCTGAGAAAGATTCCCGTGCAGCATAACCCATTCTCCAATGCAGAGGAGATAACGTCTACCACAACATGACATTGCTGAATAGTGGAGTGAGATGTTCGGAATCCTAACTGGTGATCTGGGATTATTTTATTAGTATCTCGTATAGGATAGAGGAGTTTCAAAATTTTGCCAAAAATGCGTAAAAGGGAGATAGAACGATAGGAAGATTGGTATTCAAGTGTTTTTTTTAATTTAAACATGGGTAGTGCTGAACAAACTGGCTATAATATTAATTAAGCATAGGATAAGAGTGGGACCATTAATTAATTCGCAGGGCTGTGTTGGTTTCAGAAGTTCGGCTGTAGAGATTTCAAGTTAGAAGACAAGGAAGATCGCAAAACGCCATTCAGTGGTTGACTAAAACAAGGTAAAATCAATAGTAGAAGCATATTCTATCAAAACCACCCGAGAAACAGGAAAAAAAAAGCTCTGTATGAAAAATTTATCACTCAACGCCACCTGACGACCATTCGTAAAAGAAAAAAGCTCACCAAGTGGGTCAGACACTAGTTGAAGAGGGCCAAAAAATAGCTGCTTAAAATCTGTTCCATGCCTTATACTTATAGAATTTTGAAACTTCATTTGTTCCAAGCATCTAATTTTTTTTCCAACAAGGTAAAAAACACGCTTTTTGGACATTGGCAATAGTTTATTGATAAAGAAAGAAATTATTTTGATTAAATACATATTGTTGAAGTGTAGATATAGCATATTTACAATATGTTTAAAAAAAAAACATTATTTTTGTATCAATCCAATACAATTTTTTTTCTCTTACATAATTACTATACTCAAGGTAAATATATTTACAATATATATTTATTCCAAAAATAAAACAGTAATACATATATTGAAACATTCCACATGGTGATGATATGAAATATGCAGGATTTCATGATTAAATGGTTAAATAAGTTAACAACAAAATTTAACATGAAACATTAAAAAGACGAAACAAATGTGTACTCTTTATTTCAAGTGCATTTTGTAAATGCACTTGAAACTTGACTTCCACTACTGTCATTCTGACTGGCTCACATAATTAAGAGAAAAAAATATATATATATATTTTTATATAATTTACAATACTTACTAAAACAAAGAAATGGTGGTAGCCCAACGACTAACGAATATTGAAAAGGTATTGATATGGCAATGAAAATTGTAAGAATAGGCCATACAACTGACAAAACTGAACGCCTTGGTGTTATCAACAAAAAGATCCATATCGCATATATACATGCATATATATCCATTCTAGTACCAATCAATATAACACAAGCAATCAAGCATAGCTAAAACAAAATATTAATATTAAATCAATAGAAATATTAAACATAAAATATAAAAAATGAATACAGTCAAACCTCTACATATTGAATTTTTGCTAATTTAATATCTTTATGCAGCAAATTACAATCCTTACCCGAGCCATTGAGGTATTACAAATTACAATACACCTGATCAACTCACAGTATGCATGACACAATTAATATGAAATTTGCACACAATATAATGTTAACAACAAACAATAAGCACTAATAACTATTCACAACAATTTCACTTTTGAGATAATTTCGAACAGAATTACTGAATATAAACTGACTTTAAATTAATTTTACCACAAATTAACCCTGAACTACGAAATCCATTCCTTATAGAAGAAGTGGCCCCTCTCCTTCCCCCCAAAAAATTGAGAATTTGTGATAACTTCTTTATTTATATCACTGACTTGAATGCTCTTTTCCAATTGTTTCTGACTTTATTCAAAACTGTTTTTAAATTCATTTAGTGGAATGTCCTTTATTCCTTCCAGCAATTTTTGTTTTACCTTCTGCCACTGTCTCAAAAGGTTTTCCTTTCACTTCTCTTTTCAGTCTAGGGAATAGAAAGAAGTCACAAGGGCCCAGGTGTGGTAAGTAGGGGGGGGGGTGTGAATAATCGGTGTCCTGTTGTTTTTGGTAAAAAAAAAACTGCTTCACAGATAGCACAACATGGGCAGATTCAATGTCATGGTGAAAGAACCAATCTCCCTGTGCATCAAAGATCCACTCCTTTTCTTTTAGATATTCTCCTTCAATCTTCACGGATATGGGCATTGATATTTTCAATATTTATGTCAGTGTTTATGTCATTGAAGTTAAGGGGCATCCAGAACGAGATTTTGGTTATCTCTCTATTTTTAAAACATGAAAACCACCCATAAACACGTGGTTTGCTTTTTTATTTTTTTTATTTTATACAAGGCTTTAGCTAGACACCATTAGTCAAATATGGTTTGGTTAGGTCATCTTCTAAAGCTGTTTTAAGCGTCACAACAGTTTCCCCCAGATACTTACTTATTACCGTGATTCCACACTACTTGTAGGACCTTGGTCTCCTTAAGAATGCCATCTCAGTATGGGCCTTCCTCTCCTCCTTTTGTCTCCTGGTTTGCCATAAAAAAAAATTTTTGGGTATAAGTGATGTAAGTGACTGTGTCTCGTTTATTAAACAATTTCTGAAGTGCTCTATAATTTCTTTTTTTCCATTGGCCATCATTTTTGCCAAAATAGAAACAGGTCTTTAACTAAAAAAAATTCTGATGGACTAAGGGATGCACTCACAGCGACCAAACTTCACACACTGACTTAGGGGGAGTTCTCCCACAGGAACCCCCTCCACCAAAGAATTAGATCTCCACTCATTGTCCATCTCAGTCCCAAAACGTTTGGGTCCTCCTTGTATAGTCCCAGCTTTCGAATCTTTTGGAATTTTCTTTTAATGGTTCGAAACCTTCTCGATTCAGTGATGCCTAAATTGTTGTGCATTAGCTATCTTTATAACTTATAACATATAAAACCATTATAATATTAAATTTAATATTTAAAAAAAATTAAAATTCTTTATACTTAGTAAATTATTATTGTTATTTATAAGTAACAATTAATTTTCAGCAAATATAGGTAAACTCATTACAATATATAGAGATTCACCTGCATTGAAAATGAAAAGAAATATATGAATTTGTTATTCACCTCAATACCAAATCTGTAGAAGACATAATTTATCAAATATTTGACACAATACAATAAGTTCTTTTCAGCATGTACAAAGGTAATGCCAGGGAAAATTATTAGTGGCCGTACAAGAGATCTGCCCTTCAGATGCCTTTGGTAATTCTGCCGGGTCAATACAACAGCATGAAATGTAACTATTAAAATTATAGCTGCAAAAGAATACAAAAACAGTAAAGTAAAGGTAATACAATACAAATATTATTACAAAGCACACCCTGAAAATGATCCTTAGAACTGGGTATACTTGAGACGGGAGATATTACCAATATATCCTGATAATAGAGACACAAGTGATGAATCACTGCCAGTTTTCTCAAACCCAACCCATTTAGCAGTGTTGTAAGTCATCTGTCATGAAAACAAAAAAATAATAATAATAAATATCTAAAAAAAAAAAAAAAAAAATTGTAGTAAAAACTTTATCATCATTTTAAAGTACAACTTACATTATCATTTTCACAGGATACATTAAACCTCGCATGCTCTATATACTCAATCTGGTAAATCATTTTAGCGAGTAGAACGATAGATGCAAAAAATGACATTGAATGGGCAACAATGATCTGTATATTGTTACCAAACATCAGTGATGCAACTGTCATCACTACAAACAGCATGTGAAGAGCACAAACCTAAAAAAATATTTATAAAAAAATGATAAATGTTTAAAACATAATAAAAATATCTAGGGTTGAGATATTGTCTGTGAAAAAAAGGAAGTTGTTTTATAGAGGGCCCTTTGATTACAGACTATAGAAATTATTGTTCTTCATAGATTACTTTAATAATGCATAAATGTACAGCAGGCCACAGTTCAGACTAATATACTTAGGGGCAGGATGGCCGACCAGGCTAATGCATGTACAAAACACGCATTGCGCAGTAACCAACCACATGATAAACCAAAGGTACAAGAAACAAAATAATTACGAGTTCACCTCCCAGTGCCAGGAGAGAAGGCTTTTAACTATGGCATTAATCTCCTACCCTCTCACCTAGCCTGGGAAAATTCCCATATAGCCTAAAAGAAGAGAAAGGGGTGGACAAAAAAAAGGAATACAAATTTATGTTAAGATATGTTTCATTAAAATTAACTTTTGAGTATTTATTAATGAAATCAGTGTTCATTCCTTCTTTCACTAAACTTTACTGTGAGTAACATTTTAGTGTGTTGGAGAATGGGATTTAATTGCAATTGTGCATTTTAACAATAATGTGCAGTTCTATAACAAAATTTTTTGGTGGTTAAATCATATTTCTTGTCATAAAAGAGAGTAAAGTAGTAAAATTCTAATTAAACTGGCTACTATTTACAAATAATGTATTATCCAACTATTTAGTTTTATTAGGATTTGAGAAGCATCGAAACAGTTACATTTTATTTTAACAATAAAATTAACATAAAAATGCGTATCCTAAAAATATAAGGGCTATGTATAGATAACTGCATTCATGCTGTTAAGTCATAATAACAGATTTGCTTTCTAAACATTGGTGAAATGCCAGTACTTTTTGTGCTCGTTTATGGAAATTATCTACAAGACTCTACTTCTTCATAGTTCCAGACATCTTGTATCACTACCAACTAGTCCTAGGATCGTCAAATTTTGGCCAGAACTGATAGAATGATTATCAGAAAGACTTGAGGAGTTTCAATTAGTTTTGACGTTTCTAGAGAGAAGCACAAATAATGTTGGAAGTGAAATGGTGTGTAAATATAATTTGTAAACACACTAAGAGAAAAATAAATTTCAATATGAATATAAAATTGCCAAGCACACAATGTAATGTTTCAGGCAATATTTATAAAAATATCCATTATTCAGATATGGTAGTCAATGCAATGAAAATTTAATAAATTCAGCTGCCAACTAACCAATAATACTACAGGATTAAAATTTACCGAATATTAAGGTAAGAATATTAATAATCTAATAAAAAAGGTATCTCAGCTTTTCATAAAGTACCTTTATATAATAACAAATAATTCTTATAAAATATAATCTGTTAAATGTCCAGATATATTAAAAAAAGAAACAAAATTTAAAAAATACAGAATAAAATAATAGTGATACAAATAAGTAGAACAGTTGAAGGGTCAATTAGTTAGAGGTGATATGTGATGTTTTATAGTGTTGAGAAAATTAAATTTAAAGTTGGAAAAATTCAAAAATTGAACCCACCTTCAAAATTTGAGATTTTACTTTTCACGATATGTAGAATTCAAAAATCGAATAAAAAACATTTTGTCTGTCCACAGCTTTTCTCCGAGACTACTAGGCTGATTTTTTAAAAATTTGGAATCAAAGTAAGAGGGCACCAGAGGATGATCCTCCTACCTCGACATACTATCGACCATAAATGAATGTACCTATTTCAATGAAACAAGCCACAAGTTTTCTCCTCCATCCCCTTTAAATTTATTTATATAATGTACTCCAACGAAAAGACACATAGAAAATGCGACACAGAGAAACTTAATGACATGAAAAAAAATTACGTAACTTGAAATTTTAATTTCTTTTTACAAACAAGTTTATGTTTCATATGTGCACTCTTACTTTAAAAAATGTATTGTTTCCAATAAAAAATATATTTATATAAATATATTTAAATATAAAAATAAATTGGTTTTTAAATGAATAAACGATTTCATTTATATGGCTTATGGAATACAATTTTAATATCTATTTTTTTTTATCATATTTTATTTCCAGTTCCTCTAATATAGACATCTCTTTATAACAGACAAAATTTGATTCCCTATAGGTGTCCACTACAGAGAAGTTTTATTGTATATAGCTTTAATCATACAAATATACTTAAGAACATTATCAATAATAATAATTCAAGATTTTTAAAAATGTCAATTATCATTTTCATCTATTCGACCCTTGAATTTAAAAGTAATATAATAAAAGTAATAACTTACATTATATATAGCGACCAACATCACTGTCAGCATAACAGCTTTGATAATATGAAGCTCAAGCGCCAAAAAAGTAAACTCAATAAAATTTGAATACCATTTTGAAAGGGAGTGGGTAACAGACTGGAATGTCATCTCTCTGAGAGCTGAAATTGAAATAGTCTACACTAAATCATCATTAAAATTATACAATAAACATAAACAAAATTGATCTTAACCTTTTCTTAATTTAAAATTCATTGTTTGTTTCCCTGGTGGCGGCAGAGGAAGTGGAGACCCATCAGACATTTTTTCGTCAACATGTCCAGTAATATTTTGTGTTCCGTCTGAAGCGGAAGATACCCGAGCTCTCCTGACAGAACTAGTTCCCCTGGATGAAGAGACAGCATTAATCAAACATTAAATAATAATACTATACATAACGAGTCTTGAAGGCCTTTTGTTAAGTTTTTCAACCAATTTCTTGGATGAGCTAACTTTGGTTGAGAAACTCAACCGTGCTAAAGAATTTCTTTAAGTCGGGGGACCAATTGACCCAAAATGTTGAAAATTTGTTACAAACTAGAGCACTCTTTATCTTCAGGAAACACACTATTCTGCAAAACATTCTGTGTATCCCGCCATTTTTCTATTGCGTTATTGTCAGTGTGGCTATGCATTTCATTATATTCTTTAGATAATAAAGATGTTTGGAAGGAACCATGACTGAGTTTTAAAATTGATTGAAGTTATAAGGGGCAGACCATTGCTGTACAGCTTTACATTTTTTATTTAAACTTTTTTGTCACTCTAGGGATTTACTATAACTTTTTTAATTTACTTATAACTATAACTTCTTTAATTTAATTTAATTTCCATTATTTACACGATACCGCATATATATGGTGTTGAATCAATGGAAATTAATACAGATAACACTGAACACAACAATACTCGAAACTAAGTTGCAAGGTAAGGTTATTTTTCAAGCACACATAGCGATAACTTATGTTAACTACATTCCCTGACTATGTTAGAGAAACTTAACCATGTAAAAGGGTCTATAAAGCCTTATTTTTTATTTATTATTTATTTACATCCCTGCCATGCCTGAAACTTGACCATATAAATCTCCCTTTATCCTATAACCATGCCATAAATTATATATATATGTCTCACCTAAAGATTTTATTGTATATAAGAAGTAAAAAAGCATTTTTTTAGTGGTTGAAAATGGTTTTCAATTGTATACTTTCTTTATGTGTTAAATAGAATATAGAATATGCTTCATCTTTTTTTTTTTTCTTTTGGCATTACAGGTCTTGTAGATCTTTGGCTCCAGTAATTCCATCTCTGCCTATCTTGGATTATATCTTTTCAATTATCACCATGCAGCTTTATTACATCTTTGTTGATTCGATCTATCCATCTGCTTTCTATTGAGGCATTCATTGTTACGCAGAGGCTTCCAGAAGGATTGCTATGAGCTACATGCCCCGCCTATCTTAACCTCCGTGCCTGCATATCATGGGATATTGATTGACCAGTTTCTATAAGCAGTTCTTTATTGGTCTTTCATCATCACGTGTTAGTACTCTGATCGCAGATCACTCCGGTTATCGTGTGGAGGATTTTTCTCTCAAATCTTTCAATATTTTTTCTGGAGTGCCGGTTAGTGTCCAGGTCACACGGCCATATATTAGAACTGGTTTTTTCATAGCATTGTACACTCTTAATTATATTAAAAATCAGAAATGATAACTCATTTCTCGTTAAAATTATATTCATAGAATTTATTTTTAGTATCATTTGTAAAAAGATTGAAATTTAGTACCATCTGTATTGAAAGTATTATAAAATAAGTAAGGATATAAATAAATTATAATTATTTGGATATTAAATGTCAGTACTTTAAGTAATTCTAAATATTTATTTAATAACCCTAAATAGGTATAATTCATTATGTAATACCTGCTCTTGATGTCTGAAATAGCCAAGAAGTCTTCGTGGAAATAATACAGCTGAATGACTGTGATGATTACAAAGAAAGTTGGAATAAATAGTTTGAAGAACAAATCAGTTGTTTCGTAACGTTCTAATCCTATATCTCTTTGCCTACAAAAATAAATAAAATATTAGTATGTTCATATTTAAAGTCAAGAATTTGATATGACTAGGCTAGTTTCTTCATGGGCTGATATTAAATGATTTATATATTTAATATTAAAATAGACAAAACCAATAATTATAACAAATAGATTCGGGAGTCACAGTTGAGTCTCTCAAAATTGGGATAAATGCATAAATTAACACTAGATATTTCAAAATTATTACATCCCTATGCCAAAGTATAGCCTTTTAAATAAAAATAATTCTGAGAAATTTAGAGAAGTTTATAGAAATTTATCTAAGAAATTTTTAGAACTTTAGAAGAAACAATAATTTAAATTAAAATAACCCAATATTTGCACCTTATTTCTTAGCTTATGAAACACTTAATTATTAAATCAAAACACCATCTTTGAAAACACATTATTCTTACAGTTCATCACTTACAGTTTTTCATCAACATGTAGATAGCGCTCCCAGTATTCGCCAAAATGATCAAATTGATAAGTGTAAGTCATGACAAGAATGAGCATGGAATATATAATAAGTATTAGCCAAAATCCATACATCAATTTCCTCCATAATGTCCAAGATATCTAACCGTATGTCATGAAAAAAAGTGCATCATTAGAATAACAAATGACATGCTAATTATGAATTAAATAAAGCATGATGTTTTGACTACCTGGAAAGTGAGGATGAACAACAATGCCAATGCCATATAAACTATTCTGAAAATAGTCATCCTTTCTCCGACTATTCCAAATGTGAAGAGCACAGATGCCACAATCCATATCCAAAACTTTGTCAGCAAGCCGCGACAAAATTCACCAATGTTTTTTATCAGCTGGCTTGTTCTTGTTTGAGATTCATCACCAAGCCCTAAACAAATTGATTACAAGATTAAATCATTCAAAACAATTTTAAATGCTGATAAAAGGATTTCGAAAATTGTCATTATGATTAAAATAAGTTATTCTGTTTGAAATAATTAAGTAAATATTTTTATTTATTAGCCTAAAATAAAATTTAACATCAAATTAAATTTGCGATCTGCAAATTGCTTTGCAATGAGCAGATTTCTTGAAAGCTTCACAGCATCCCATCATATATCCAAGACATAAATCATTTTAGCAGGTCTCTTGGCCACCGCCTGTATAATCATTGTGGTGGTCTGTACGGGTTTCTTGTGCCTCTAAAGATTTCTGTCAGAGGATTCATGTTGTAAGTCTTTGGTGAAAGTTATTGTGGTTTTCTATTGCAGTATCTAAAATTGTTGAGATTTTAAAGTCTTAATGTAATATATCATTTCAGACATAAAATGGTGAGCCAACTATCCTTTACAATACTTTAGACTGATAAGACTGATTTTTTTTAATGTTGGAGGTTTTATCAGAACCCCATAGTTCTATACCACAAGTCCAAATTGGTTCAAGTAAAAGTTTATACAGGGTTAGCTACAGATAACTTTGAACGTCTGTCAAGTAACCTGCATAAAAGAACATATTGTCTGTGTAATTCCATTTGTTTTTGTCTAAGGTGAGTCCTCCAAGTTAGTCTTTTGTTGAGGTAAAAACCCAAATATCTCAGTATATCTAATACTGCGATTTCGATGTTATTAAAATATATTTTGGGGAAAGATGTATGATTAAGAATGAATACTAATAAATCCTCTTATTAAGTTGCTTGGCAATAATAACTTCCAATTATTAACAAACGAGTATATTTTTTAACATTACATGTTACAGTCTAGTTGACATTTCGGGATCTTTTATTCCCATCTTCAGAACTGCAATTCCAATACTCTTGTGGATGCAAGGCTTAATTCTAATGATTATAATAATGTGCTCCATCGTCAATTTTCTAATTTATGTTCTGGATTTTATCATCTAGAGCAACATTCTCCTTTTGACCAATTATTGAGAGATGTATGATTAAGAATGAATACTAATAAATCCTCTTATTAAGTTGCTTGGCAATAATAACTTCCAATTATTAACAAACGAGTATATTTTTTAACATTACATGTTACAGTCTAGTTGGCATTTTGGGACCTTTTATTCCCATCTTCAGAACTGCAATTCCAATACTCTTGTGGATGCAAGGCTTAATTCTAATGATTATAATAATGTGCTCCATCGTACCATTCGACCAATTATTGGTCAAAAGGAGAATGTTGCTCTAGATGATAAAATCCAGAACATAAATTAGAAAATTGACGATGGAGCACATTATTATAATCATTAGAATTAAGCCTTGCATCCACAAGAGTATTGGAATTGCAGTTCTGAAGATGGGAATAAAAGGTCCCGAAATGTCAACTAGACTGTAACATGTAATGTTAAAAAATATACTCGTTTGTTAATAATTGGAAGTTATTATTGCCAAGCAACTTAATAAATTGACAACTTCCCAGGAAAAAAGAAAAAAATAAATCCTCTTTTTTTTATTCATTTAAATTTTCCACTAGTGGCCCAATCAGCATTATCCTTCAGATAGGGGTGGGGTGGCCAAGTAGGCTAACCACAGCACTGTGAGTTGCTAGGCAATCTGATAACCAAAGTTGGAGATGGAAAAAATAATTATGAGTTCAAATCCCGGAGCCCAGTGAGAATTTTAACTCGTTATAGCTCTGCGCCTTTTCCCCGGGCCCAGGAAAAACCCAGTGTAGACTAAAGGTAAGGAAGGGGAGAAAAAAATATTTTTCAGATGATTCTGAAAAGTGGTGTATGCTCGAACATGGTTTTTATCTGGAGGATTGCTATATCATCAGCAAAATTAGCCAGTAGAATGTCATTAAGTAACAGTAGGTCTGACATATATATTTAAAAAACCTGTACGACTACAACCCATAAAGGGTCTTGGGTTAATTACTTTTTAGGGAAAGTACTGTTACAAGGCCAACAGTTGTTCTGGAAGGGGATCGGGCCAGGATCACGCTCAACCGCAATGTTTTCCCCCTTAATCAATTACTTAAATAAGGGTACCCACTTTGTAGAGGCTGGGTATGCCCCATGAGGATCTCCCTGCCCCTGAGCTACCCCTTTCTCCTGACATATATGTATTAAAAAATATTGGCCAAAGGATACTACCGTGAGGTACTCCTGCTTAGACTTAGTGTCAGAATGTGTTGACACCAACGTGAGTAAATTTATATTATTTTGTGACCATATCATGATATTGGGGTTCAATTTAATTTGGTTGTGAATAACCTAATTTTTTTTTTTTTGTTTCCGTATCATTATATGGTGGACCTTTTATTTGTATGCATTTACACAACATTAAATATTTTGTTTACTACAGAGATGTCCCAGCGACGATGCTTTCAGCCACTTCTGGGTTAGTCACCTCTCATCATGTCATTTAATACCGAAGGCAAAAAGAAAACATTGCTAAACCACTATGGCTGCTGGAAGCAATGAAATCAGAACTCCATGAGATTCTTAGTCCCGTCACCATTTCCCCTGGCCAACCCATTGATTTCATCACCGCAGGTTGTGACGGCAATTTCCCACATATGGGACACCATTATTCTGCACCAGAACACATAAATGCTTGACAATACACTACATTAACTGTGGCTTGTTAGACCACTGAGTTGAATATAATGTGGGTCAAGCTCTGGTTCCAATCTCCGATTAGCCTTATAATAAGATAATAATATAGTGAAACTTCTCTTAATGGACACCTCTATATAGTGGATCCCCCTATTATCAAACAATTTTCTAGAGGTCCTGTTCAACAAGGTACAAATCTGATACATTTGAACCTCTCCACTTTGTACGTGGATACCAATTTCTTTTCCCATTATCGTCACTCTGTTTTCCCATTTCTTCCGACTTCACTCCTTTCTAATGCACATTTTTACGAACTACAAATTACAGTACAGTACAAATTTGTAAGTCATTTATTTAAAAAAAAACAACTACCCTAGATATAGTTTATAACAGCATTTTCCCATTCCGTTAAGAGCTTAATGTCTAGCTTCTTCAAAATAGATCTATTATGTCTATTACAGAAATTTTTGTAGAGAAGTTTCATATTTCCAGCCATTTCCAAAGTGGTAAGAAGAAAATCAGCCTAACTAAAGAATTAAATCTAATCATATCAGAAAATCATTCTACCATATCTTCAAATAGGAAAAATAATGATTCAAGAGATTAGAAAAAATAAGGATTCGTTCAAAATTAAGAAACGCTGTCATATTCTAAGAAGCCCAATCTGAAGTCCCATTTTCCTCATTAAAGAAAATGATTTTTAAGATCTATTCCCAGTGGAAATTTAGATATCATTATCATTTAATAAATGTTATGTGAAATTTTATATTTCTAGGAAATAATTGGAAGAATAAATTTATAGAGGTATGGTCCAAAAATTTGTATTAGACTAGGCATAAAAAACTAGGTTTTAAAAACTTAGCAATAAAACAGCCAGAGAAAGCCTCCTAATTTTTCAATGTATTTTTTAATCTAATCCGAGAAATTCCATTTCTTCTTACATCTCATTTATCAAAATCCATCGGTCCTGAGAGCCAGAAGTGGGATCTATACGAGTATATTATGTATCATTTATTATATCATAAAATTTGAAAATCGCAATTCTAAAATTTTTGTAAATTAGTATTGTCACTAAAAAATAAATGCTACAAACAATTACTTTTCAGGTGAAATCAGATGAAACTACAGTATATAATTATTTTTTTCTTTTAAAGATCATGGTTGGACTGTTGTTATTACTATTATTATATTGAGGAAAAGGGAAACTCTTCCTTGTCAAAAAGCTTATGGAATTTTTTCGAGATATTTCACTGTTCATCCATTCACTGAGATCCCACAGGAATTTAATACTGTGAATGCAATGTATATGGTGTTCTGTTCTTTTATTTATAAAAATTCAGTATACCTGTTGCTGTTCCAACTCCGATCTGAAGAGGTGCTGCAATATCAGCCATTGCAGACTGGTTTCTAGCTTCCCTCTTCTCAATGACGTACTGCTTCAATGTTATCCAGAACATGAGGGTAAATAGTGTCTACGAATGGAAATTGGGTTAAGATTAGTTTTCTTTCGATTATCAGTCAAAATTAAACAGATAATAAAATATGCTATCAATGACCTAAAACTAACAGTTCTTCTTAGAAACAAATTGAATAATAAGACATAATTGAAACTTTAGAAAAATCATTGAGTTAATTAATTATCTTCTTATAATGACTTCAGAAATAATAACTCTACCAGGATGGTTTATATAATATGAGTATGAATAACATATAAATGGTAATTAGCTTTTATAAATTTATAAACTATGTATATAATTAAAGGTATGCCAACTCTTTATATCATCTCTGAATTGTATTTGATGGCAGATTGAAGCGAATCATGAACTGCTATCTAAGATTTGTCTTTGGTAACTCAAGGCTGTCTCATGTGTTCCACCTTTATGACTATCCAAAACCCTTCCACTCGTAGTCAATATTTCTTCAGATCTTACCTGCACAAAATAATCAAGTCCCAGCACTATTTCTGCTACATTTGGTTACTTACATAAGTTTTCAATTTCTATTCCATCATTGAAGATTAAGTTATTTATAACAATATAAACACAAAGTCCCAAATTTTCTGATGCATATATGCAACAATAATTAGCTTTAAAAATAAGTGGTGGAGACAGATTTATCTTATACTTATAAGCATCTATTAGTGTTTCAGCTTCAAATCTTCCATCCAAAAAAATAACTTTCCGTTTTTTTTCTCTCACTCTCTTAAAAGTATTTAGTTTAAAGTATAATTTATTAATTATTAATTATTAAGTTTAAGTATAACATTTATAACATACAGCTGAGAGACAATTTGACAGTATTGTGTTTGGCAGTCCTATATCAATCATGCCCTATTCAAAAACCTAGGAATAATCTTTGATCAAACGCATTCCTGGAAAAATCATGTATCCAATATCTCCTGTCGTATCATTTCCACCTTAAAACGTCTAAGTTACTCCGGTCACCTATTTCTCCTTGAAATCCAATAGGCTCCTAGTAACTTCCTTAATTTTTCCTCACTTTGAATATTGCTGTACGGTATATGAGGGCGTCTCTGGGGATCTCGATGTTAAATTAAAATGTTTGATAAATTGCTTGTATGATTCATCTTCAAGATCCCAGGGGATGCCTCTGTTTCCCGTTTTTATACAGAGTTGAAATGGCTTTATCCTTTGTACCGTCGTAAGTATTTCCTGCCATCCTTCCTCTTTCAAGTCATCCAATCACACTGTCCTTCATACATCTCCGAGCTCCTTAAATTCAAATCCCCTGTTCGTTCCCGGTCTTCTGATTTATACATAAGGGCCCACACTGAACTGCTGCTTTCAACAGATTGTTCAATATCTAATCCTCATCCCTATGGAACTACATCAGTCAATCAATACCCTTCTTACCTTTAAATCCTGCCTGTTCAATCACTTCTTATCTATCCAGTCCTTATAAAATTGTAAATAGTTAATACTGCAAATATGCATATAAATTATTAGATCGTTGATTATTTTTACTTCATGTTTATTTTCAATTTTTTATTATTAACTGATTTAAATTAGAAAGTAACTTATATTTTCTTTTATTACTTTTTTATTATGACTATTTAATTACTCTATATTTTTGTTTATGTATCTCCTCAGTTCACATTTTTGTCTCTCTGTATTATTCTAAAGGGACTCATCCCAGAATAAATAAAGCATTATTATTATTAGTATGTCATGCTATGGACTCAGGCCACACACCTAGTGCCTATCAAACCTCCAAGAAGAACTATCATTTCAAAATTTTAGCCAAATATGAATCTTTTATTATTAGTAGTAGTAAGAGTAGTAATAAGTAAATCTCAATCAGTAATCTCAATTTTATATATGTTCTTTAACACTTGAATTAAAGTGTAAGCAACCAATTTAACAACTGTCATCTACAATTCAAACCTTTAGTCCACTAACAGAAAACAAGATCCAATCTTTGAAAACAAGTAAAATCTTTGAATGTTTCTTTCTTGCCCACTCAATTGCCTTCTGATATTCTGTACCATTTAATATTCCATGCTTCTTCCCTATCCTCATTCAAATAACAACTTTTCTAATATCTTCTTGCATCTCAAACACACTTGAGAAAAGATAAACTAGAAGAAATGGATTGGTAAACTCTCAAATATCTTCCATTGATATTCTAAACTTGACAATCTGCAACTATTTTTTGTTACTACTCTAAAAAGAATCATGGTACTTTTTGGCCGCCACTGACTGCTATCTGCCAATGTTTATAACCTGAACACTGATCTCCCATAACGCAGTGATAAGCCTTCTCCCACTTCATATATTTGTATTATTGTATTAAATTTGTATTATTGAAAGTGTAAACAGATACAAAAACAAATGTAATAACAAAAAAAATACTTTTATTTGACGACACATATATTAATGAAATAATAAAAAAAATACTTTAAGAATATATGTACATATAAAAAATCAAAATGAAATAATAAAAAAACACATTTAAAAGAACATATTTACATAGAAAAGAAAAAATATCAACACTATAAACAACATATGTACAAATTATTTTCACTTAATTATTCACTTCCCTTTGTCTTATTTATTTTGGAAGGCAAAATTGTTTTATGCTATTTAAAATAGCGAAGAACGGGTCCTCTTCTCTGTGAGCCCGCCGCCACAAAAATTCCCACAAATATGAATCGAAGTGTTGTCTGGCAGTTCCTCAATGTGCATTATTTCTCCACTTCGCTGAGCCCCATAATTGTTCTATGTGTTGAGTATGAACCCCAGTTGATGGATCGACAAAATTATACCAGTGATTCACTTGGAAATGGTCATAGTTTGCTTCGTTCAGTTGTCAGGTGTTGTATCCTTTCCAACAGTCCGAATAAATGGTCGTTCCTCTTATTTATTTTCTTTAATTGCTTGTAATAAGGTTGTTGCCCAACATTTTGAAAATATTGAATTGCCTGTTCTTCTGAAGATAGCAAATCCCATATTCTAAGAAGATCCATAATATGACGAAAATAAACGGAAAAAAAAAATGAAAAATAAACACAAAGGGGCCACAAACTAAAAAAAAAATGTAAAATAAACAAAAACGGGCCAAAAACTAAAAATAAACACAAATGGGCCAAGTAAAGAATTTAATAAGTCAACGTAATAAGGGAATAACTGAAAACTAAACAATGCAATAACTCAAAGGTTTGGTGGGATAAGAAGATGGAGGTTATGTGACGTGACGTTAGATAAGATAGATAAGAAGTGAGGTTTCAGGACGGCCCGCTAGACAAAAAGTACCAGAATCACTTGAAGGAAAATGATTCAAAAGCAATGATGAAGTTGATGAATATGGGTCCAATTGGCTCAAAGTTTGATTGAACAAAAAATATCTGTGTAGAAATATGAACAAGACAAAAGTGTGTAGATCACTGAAAGTATGGTTTATGATGATCATTAATTAATAAATGTAAAAACAATAATTATACCTATATTTCACTCATCCTCGTATTATATAAATCCTCTTGGCAAAATCATTGTTTATATTCCAAAAAATTGTTCGCATTAATTTTTTTTTAAACATAACAGATTACCTTAATGAGAAGCGGTTTTACAGGAAGATGGGTGATCTTCTCAAAGCCTATCTGCTTGAGGTTGAGGCCTTGTATAGTCTGAGGCAGCTCCTCCTCAGTCAGATTCATACCATAAATGTACTGGGCCAAAAGAAGAAAAATTGCATAGAGCACAAGAAATGGAGAGGAGCGGAGCATGGCTCTTCTCTGATTTGGCATAAGCCACATGATGCTAGCCCAAAGAAGCAGCACAAAAGTCAGCCAGCTGTGATACGCAATACTCCAAGTCTGCAACCATCAATTTTATATCAACATACGTAATAATGAGAATCTTACTTTAAAAATTAATAATAATAATAAGGCTTAGCGAACCCGAAGGTTCGATGCCGACACCACCAATCGCTTGTTACACACCTCCCTCCACCGTTCGCCGCCCAAACCCAGTCCCTTCAGATCGGCTTTAATACAATCTTCCCACCTTCGCTTCGGTCTACCCCTCGGACGCTTACCATTCGGCACAGCAAATATTAACCTTTTAGGAATTCTCTCGTTACTAAGCCCAACAACTTTACAAGCCCATTTGATTCGCCGCAATGAAATTACCTCAATTATATTACCCGGATACAGCTCACGCAATTCGGCGTTGTGTAACCGTCTGAACTCTCCGGTTAACTCATCCTTCTTCGGTCCGAATATTCTACGCAACACTTTATTTTCAAAAACCTTAAGACGCTGCTCATCCCTTAATGTAAGCGGCCAAGTTTCGCATCCATAAAGAACTGTAGGCAAGATAATTGTTTTATAGATTCTAATTTTTAAGTTCCGGGACAAGAGGCGCGAACTGAGTAGTTTTGTCACAGAAAAATAACAAGCATTCCCCGCCTTCAGTCTAACTTTAATCTCTTCTTCAATTTCGTTTTTTCTAGTTATCGTAGAACCTAGATACCTAAATTTATCTACCTGTTCAAACATATTACCATCTATATCGATATCACCACTAGTATCGCCATTTTTGCAGCTAACCATATATTTTGTTTTATCCACGTTTATTTCGAGTCCTAGTTCTTTACCGGCTTTCATTAACGTTGTCGTATTTAGTTTTATAGTTTCAACGTCTTCGCTTAACAGTACCAGATCATCAGCATAGCCCAGCACGGATGTTGTCCCGCCCAGACCCAACCCTTTCTCGGTTCGCATTACCTCCCTAATGGCATGTTCTAATGCCAAATTGAACAGGACAGGCGAAAGAGAATCCCCCTGTTTTAAGCCCGAACGAACCTCAAATTTTTCGGACAAATTATTACCGATTCTAACTTTATTGAGTGTCTCCGTCAAGCACATCCTGACTAGATTTACTAGTTTTTTTGGAATCCCCTGCTCAATTAGAATATTATACAGTTTCTGGCGGTCAATAGAATCGTAAGCCTTTTTAAAATCTATATACAGCTGGTGAACAATACCGTTACACTCCAATTTTTTCTCTAATATTTGCCGTAAAGAAAATATTTGATCAATAGTCGAACGATTCCGTCTAAATCCGCATTGGTAGTCTCCGATAATTTCCTCGGCGTATTCCATTATTCGACTGGTTAAGATTAAAGTGAATATTTTATAACATACCGGAAGGAGTGAAATTCCTCGATAGTTATTACAATCCGTCCTCGGACCCTTTTTGTGAATCGGAATAAGAATAGATTCTTTCCATTCTTCAGGTAATTTCTCGTTCACCCAGATCTTTTTAACCAACCGATGTATTTTAGAAACTCCAGCTTCCCCGCATGCCTTAATTAGTTCAGTAGGAATATTATCGATTCCCGCTGCTTTATATGATTTTAATTTTCCGATAGCTACTTCAACTTCCTCTTTACTTGGTCCTTCTATTAACGGTTCAGCACTCTGGTACTCAGAAGGAGGACACAGATCATAATTTCCCGTATTTAAAATATTGTCAAAGTGGTCCTTAAACTTATTCAATATGTCAACCGGATCGGTCAGAATATTGTTATTATCATCCCTAATTCCAGACGTTACGGGCCCTACATATTTACGTGATCTGTTTATACCTTTGTACATGTCTCTTACGTTATTTTCGATTCTATTAGTTTCTATTTCAATTATTTTATTTTTAAGATACTCTCTTTTTTTATTTTTGAGCAATTTTGTCGTTTCGTTCTTTGAGATTCGGAAGTATTCCAGATTGTCTTCGCTAGTATTATTTAGAGCTTTTAATTTAGCAGCTTTTCTTTTTTCACACATGTTTAAGCAATCTTCATCAAACCAGGGTTTGTTATTCTTATTTTCCTTTTTTCCTAGACACGGGTTACCGACCGCTTTAATATTATCCCTGATCTCTACCCATAACTTGTCAATATCCTCGTGGTCCTCTTCAGGAAGCTCTAAAGCTTCAAACCTATTCTTAACATCTAGCTCGAATTGGTTTCTAATTGATGGATTTTTTAATTTTTCCAAATTAAAATTCTCAAAATCGAAACGGTTTTCTTTTCTCTTTTTTATATTAAGTTTTTGTCGAAGTTTCGCGATTACTAATTCATGATCCGACCCACATTCTGCTCCGCGATAAGACCGTACATTAATTATACTGCTTTTCCAGCTGTGTTGTATCAAGACATGATCGATTTGATTTCGTGTTTGCGAATCCGGTGATGTCCAAGTATATTTATGAATATCCTTATGTTTAAACGTCGTACTTTTAATTATCAGGTTTTTCGAGATGGCAAAGTTTATTAGACGGATCCCATTATCATTACTATATTCGTGCAAACTTTCTTTACCAATCGTCGGAATATAAACTTCTTCCCTTCCTACCTTTGCGTTGGCGTCACCTACAATTATTTTCATGTAGTTTCGCGGTAGTTTATCATAAACCCATTCGAGTTTATCGTAAAATTCACTTTTGACTTCATCGTCACTGTCTTCGGTCGGACAATGTATGTTTATTAATGCGATTTTAAACCAACGTCCCTGAAATGTAGCTACCGAAATTCTATCACTAAAGAATTGTACGTCCCTCAAAGCGGATAGTAATCTACTCCTAATTAGAAACCCGGTACCTAAACAATGATTCCCGCTTCCTCCGTACCAAATAGTGCACTTCCCTTCCCTCATCGAGCCCTCCCCTGGCCAGCGAACCTCTTGCAGAGCCACGACATCCAAATTGTACCCATTTACCTCATTCGCGACCGATTTTAGCCCCCCTGCTGTGTTTAAACTCCTTACGTTCCACGTACCAATATTTAAATCCCTATATTTCAACTTGCGGCATGAATCCCCTAAAGCAGTCCCCACCCGGAGACCCGAACGGGGGACTAGTTTACCTCCGGATAATGAGCGTTTTACCTTAGGGAGATCCATGACTTTTTGTGGTGTTTGGTGAACTAAAGATATGTGAGTAGGGCGTTCAATCCTACGTCACAACCTCCAGCAAGTCTGGTGGGCCCCTACCTCCAGCAAGTCTGGAGGTCCCCTCCCTCCAGCAAGTCTGGAGGGCCCCTCTCATTGTTGGTCAGCGAGTCCATCGGACTTAGCCGGGAGGAACTTCCAAGGAATTTCCACCGACCATCCCCACATCCGCCACCCATGGGACGCTCCCCATACGCGGTAATGAGCCCGCGCGAGGACTTTAAAAATTATATTTACAAAATATAAAAACACATTTTATACCATTTAACAACATAGTGGTCCAGATAATAATATTATAATGTATAATCCATATCTTTATACAATGAGTTCCAACATTATTGAAATAGACATGTTTTATTTAAGAGAAAAGGTGCCCAAGGAGGCTGTCCAGATGAAAACAATAAGTATTAAACAAATAAGGAAGTCAACATTTTAACCCACACTTTATGCCAGTAAGACTAAACAGAGTAAGGCATAGAGACAAAGTCCGATTTCAATCCTTAAATTCAGATTAACTCCACCATGGCCAGATCTCAAGTCCAGGGTGAGAAAGGAGGTTAGGGGAGGGCTGATTAGCCGACCCTGTAAAAATACTCAAGTTACTTCAACTCAAAAACCAAGCCTCAGATATCGAACAGTTTTATGGTAACGACCCGGAACTTAGACAAAGATATATTGATTTAGAACTTGGAACATTCGGATCTTATTGAGACCTGGCGCTCTATCAGGATTGAAGGACTAGTTATTAAGTCACAAAATGGATATCACTGTAATAGAGGAGATGAGAGGACTATCAATGGTAAACTAAGCAAGGGAGATTTTAACTCCTTCTATAGTGGCAGTCACCACACACAAATTCGGGAGTAGACATGTAGTGTCTAAGCTCATGAGATCTGCGGTTTTGGATTTCCTATCCATTAGTAATAGGATATTTAAGTTTAGAATAAAAGGAAGTAGTTGTTATATTACTATCATAAATGTAAATGTGCCAATAGAGGAAAAAGAACAGTTTTATGAAGAACTGGAAAGGTCCCTAGATGCCTGCCTATCTTATGACATGAAAATTATAATGGGTGATTTCAACACTTAGGTAGGCAAAGAGGAAGTGTTTTTACTGTCAATAGGTAAGAATACCATGCACGATAAGACCAATGACAACAGAGAGCACATGATAACTTTTGCTACCATAAATGCACTAGTTGTTTTTTTAACTTTCTTTATTGAATATTAATACATTCTGCCACATTGAAGGGCATTAATATTAAGGCTACATGATTCATTCACACAATATGTACATACGATTAATATCAATAATAAAGAAAAAGAAATATAAAAAAAATAAAATAAGTAAATTGGTATGCCTGTGTACAAAAAAAATAATGAAATAATAGATAAAAGCTAGATGAAATTAAAGTAAATAAATCACATTCACACAAATGTACAATATTTACATTCACCCAGGGGACTCTGAGTCATGCCTTATTCCCCGACGTGGAAGCCAAGGCAGGACTCCAGGAGATCCCAGTGCTTCTCTCTCAGCCGCGACACTGTTATTTGAAACCAGTGGAAACTGATGGAGGGCAATATAGCAACAGACGCTCATGTCTTGAGTGGAGAATCTTGCCATTGCCAGTACTCCAATATATACATATTTACAAAAGATCGCGGGGCCACTGCCGTTTTAACCTCCGGGGAGGATTGTAGGGATGACTGGAGCTAGATAGGGATTGTGCTACAGGATTTGGATGATGAGTGAGTTTCTGGTGAAATTTGGAAAAATTTTCTGGGAATAACAAATGGGATATGAAGGTCATTATGGAGGGTTTTGTTGGATACATAGAAGAGAGCATCGACTATTGTTCGGAGGA